CTCCCTCCCTCCCTCCCTCCCACTCTCTAAGAAAATCAATGGAAACAATATCCTCAGGTGGGGATTAACTACAACCAAATGGCATAAATGCGAGGAACAGCCAGCATGGCTGCAGGGGAGGGAGGGGAGCTGCCAAGTAAGTGAGGCAGCCTCTTCTCCCTGCAGCCCTCCCCAGCACCCTGCTCCTGTTGGGTGGGACCAGGGGAGGGGTTGGGGCTGGGTTCCAGGAGGACAGACTGCCTGGGGCAGGGGGACTCTGATATGGCCTGGGCCTGGGGCTTTCGGGGTCGAGGGAGTGACGAGTGAAGTGGAAGGCCCAGGGGACTCTGTGACCCACTTCCCAGGGTGGAGGAAGGAGCTTCAGGATGTGACCCCATGACCTGGGGCTCCCTGCCGGCACCTGGCGGGGCACTCTGCCCTCTAGCCAGAGGCTGCTGCTCGGTTCCCACAGCTAACTCAGCCTCCCTCTCATCTGTCCTGAAGCTCAGAGGGGATGGTTGAAGGTGTGAGGGTCCCAGAGGGTGGGGCTTGGGAGTGGTCTTACCAGGAGTAACTGGTGTGCTGGAAATTCCACAGATGGTCAGGCACAGTAAGAGGCTTGCCAGCCACCTCATTCTGGAATTGCTGACACCTGTCTGAGGAGGACTTCTGAGCTTCCGGCAGCCCCACCAGCCCCTGCTCTGCCTGCCGCCCCCAAGACAGGGGTTCCCCATGTGAGCTGATTGTCAGGGAAAAAGCTGAGTTGGGGCTCCCTGTCCACTAGGTGGACAGCCACCTGGCACCTGTTTCTTTTTCCATTTGGGGCTAAGGTGACACCACCTACTCCAAGTCTGAGGGGGAAGAGAGAAAGTGGAAAGGATACAGAGTCCTGGAAAAGATCAAAGGGGACTCACTTGGAAGGGCCATGGCAGGTGGGCCCAGAATGTTCACACCTTCCCCACTCTGGTGAGAGTTCAGGGGTGGTACCGTAGCTGGTCCACTGGCCAGGCCAAGAGTAATCATGAACATTTATCAGACACACGTAGTGTCTTTCAAGTGATCTGTACATGGTTCAGAGGGCAAGCACCAGGTCAGACCTCGTGGTGCAAATCCCAGCTCCAGGACAGCAGCATTGGGCAAGAGACCTAACCGCTCCAAGCCTCATTTTTGTCATTTGTAAAATGGATAGAAAACTGTACACCTGCCATATAAGGTTATTGTGAGAATTAAATGAGTTAATTCACATAAAGCTCTTAAAATACGGTTTGCACATAGCAAACGCTCAGTAAACATTAGGTAGTACTATCTCAGTTAAGGCTCACAGCCACCCAAGATGCAGGTTTAACGCAGTCACCCACTTCATGGAGGAGGAAATTGAGGCTCAGAAGAGCAAAGTAATTTATTAAAAGCCCACAATCAGGAGGTGGCAGAGCTCGGACTTAAGCCCACAGTTGTGTGGCTCCAAGCCGCAAACATGTCCCTAACCTCTGGGTGCCTCACAAGGCCACAGAGGTCCCCTGCCAGCTGGAAGCCAAGGAGCCCTCCTCTGCCCCCGAGACTGAGTATGCAGGCCTGCCTGTGGTCCACCCCTGTCTGACCACTCTCCATCTCCACTGAGTGAGGCTGGTTCTGACATTAGTTTAAACCAGAGGCCCCAGGTGCATAGGTGGGGCAGGGGGAGTGGAGGGTGCCAGGCTCCGCGCTGCCTCTGGTGCTGGCCCTGGGCCCTGAAGGCCCTCAGCTGACTTCCACTTGCCTCAGAGTCTGGGAAGAAGCCCCCTGGAAACTGGCACCTAGGCCTGAGGACTGCCAGCCAGTACCTTTGCCTGGCCAGTGCCAGAGCCCTGACTTCCCTTTACCCCAAACTCCAGCCATTCTCTCAAACCCTGGCTCAAGGATTTAGCCTTCACCCCCGCTCATCCCTCCTCCAGCCCACCTCACAGACTTGCCTGGAAGGGGACTTACTGGGGTGAACCGCAGAGAAACCGCAAGGTCGCCCTCCTGCCGCCATGACAGCCTGGAACTCGGGTTAATCCATAACTGCAAATATTTGCCTGCTTGGCCCTCGGTGCTGAGGCCTCCCTCTCTGCAGATAAACAAACAGGTTCCGAGCTCAGGACAGATCTGTGTGCCCAAAGCCCACCTTACCCTCCATCGGTGCCATTCAGGAGGGAGGGGGATGAGGGACAGGCACCATCAAAGCTGCGTACAGACGTGGTCTTATTTTAGCCGCCTAGTGGCTAGCTGACCGAGGGACTTTGTCCCCATTTTGCAGATCTGACTTTTTTTTTTTAAATAGTGTGGTTTTTAAAATATATATATATATATCTTTATTAATTTCAGAGAGAGGAAGGGAGAAAGAGAGAAACATCAGTGATAAGAGAGTCACTGATCGACTGCCTCCTGCACACCTCCCATTGGGGATCGAGCCTGCAACCCGGGCCTGTGCCCTGACCGGGAATCGAACTGCGATCTCCTGGATCACAGGTGGATGCTCAACCGCTGAGCCACGGCGGGCCAGGCCAGATCTGACATTTTCACCCAGAGGCACTGCGCTTTGCCCCAGAGCAGCACAGCTGGTAATGACTCCGTATTTCACCAAGTCGAGGACGCCGTGACTGAGATGCGCCAGTTTTACAGAAACATGCCATCCCGGTTCTGAGTTTTGTAATGTAAGACGTGAAAAGATATGCCTCTCAAGGCCCCTCCCGTTCGGGTGCTGGGCATGCCGTAGACTCAGCTCCACTCGCTCCTGTCACTGCCCCCACAGCGGCACATGGCCGTCCCTATAACCTCCATTTTGCCAATGAGGACACTCAGAAATCTTGTTACTTGCCCAAATCCACCAAGCTGGTAGGTGGCAGGCCTGGATTAGAACGCAGTTCTTCCTGGCACCTCTTGGCCACCTTTGTGAACAAGTGAGAAAAATGAACAGGATTCCGGAAAGACTGAAGTCAGTTTATGGCCCAGGTGCTGGAAGGGAGAGGAGCAGAAGGGACCGCTCGGCCGTCGGCCAGCATTCACTAAGTATCTCCACCACACTCTTCAGCCTCCCAGCCCTGGTGGGTCACATGGCCCTGACCCACTGCCTTTGGTGACTGCACAGGGAAGTCACTGGACCCAAGGGTCAGCCATATTCTCTCCCCCAGGCCCCAGAAGTAGGGCTTCAGAGCTCTCATTCCACTGTGAGCACCAGGCCCAGAACATTTTGAAGCCAGTGTCTGGGCATCAGCGCTTGAGCCTAAAGCAGAGGAAGCAATGAGGAGGGAGGTGCAGATGGGCAGAGAGAAGGCTGATCAGGAACCAGGGAGACCTGGGAAGGCCGAGGGAGATGAGTGGGGCGCATCCTGGCTTTGGGTTCATGAGCGTCTCCCTGCCCTCCCAGGAAATCCCCTCTTTCTTTAAGTTTCCTTAACTTAGCCTGGTGGCTTGTGTTCCTCCTACCAAGGCACAGCACTGCACCTGGGCTGGGCGGGGCGGGGCACAAGGCCCTCGTCCTGCGCACACGATCCACTTGAGAAGGCAAGAGGAGCAGCACGGAAATCTAACAAGGCAGGCCCACGGGGCGGAGGCCAGGCAGCAGGCACAGATGGAGATGCTCACGGGTTCAGAGAGGAAAATCAGCACAAGCTGGGGTGGGCCCCAATGCTGCCTGCAGGAGGTGGAGCTTCAAGCGGGACAGCAGAGGGAGGCAGGACCCAGGCTACAGGGGAAGCACCGTCAGATGGGGAGGGAGCTGGAGGCACAGGAGAGGAGCAGGGG